TCAATTATTTACTAAGTAATAGCAATATTAAACATATTTTTAATATTTTAATTATTTTTAGCTAGATTAAATAAAAATTTATTTTATTTTATTTTTTACACAATTAAATAAATTTATTTTTTAAAAATTAAATAAATAAAAAATCAATAAAAAAATATGTTATTTTTTTAATTAAAATTTTAAATAAATTTGTTTTTAAAAATAATAATAATTAAACAATGAAATTAAATAAAACATCTATTAAATTAAATAAATAAAACATCAATAAAAAGTTAAATAAAATTATTTTATATTTAAATTGAGACATTTAAATTTTATTAAATATAATACATAATTAAATAGTAGAGAATCAAAATGGTCATTTTACCACCTAATCCTAACAGTGGATAATCCCCCAAAAATTGTCCCATACCCCCCCAGGATACAATAGTCCCCCATATGGGGGATAAGGAGTCCGGCCGGACTCCATGTCCGGCGGACTAAAAAAAAAACAAACGACGGATTGGATGTTTCTCCCGGATTACACGGCGGACTAAAAAAAAAACAAACGACGGATTGGATGTTTCTCCCGGATTACAATCGGCACAGTAAATAGTCCCCCTCTTATCCTCCCCAATCAAACACAGTGCACTATGCCAAAGATTAGGTGTGTACCTTATATTTTCCCTCCTAAATGCACATTAATGTATACTAATTAAGTGTGTGTGTTTTTTTTTTTTTTTAATTATTGTTATCGTGAACGTCGTCGTCAAATTATGTATAATGCCACTTTAGAAAAGCCATCGAATTAGCAACCTACTCCAACATTGCCCCACAGCAAAACACGTATTTGACCATTACCAATTAGTTTCCAGCCACAGTTGTTAGTCGGTTGTGCTTTTTTCAATTTTTTCCTCCATGCATCTTTATGCAATCTAAAAAGGTGACGCATCCTTTAAATATTTAGATATGGATACCTTTTCCACTTTATTATCCCAAAGTCGTTCTCTTTAGTCACACTAAGCAGCATGAACATTGCCACACAATATACGATATCATTAAATCTAAAATTCTTTTGTTCAAACTTATAACGTGTTTTATGTGTTATTGGTAACCATGTGTGACTTGCTGAGATTCAAGACATGTTTGGATTTGTGTCCGACACATGTTACATATGGATCCATCATATTCTTAGAAGTATCTATACTTCTTAACTTTACACAATACATCTTTGTAGTTCAAGCACCATAAAAATCTTAATTTGTCGGATCCACTCATATGAAAGCCAAAGGGTCTACTATCTTAAATTAATAACATTTAAACTACAAAGGCCTTTTGTCTTTGAATTTTTTTACCTTTTGAAGCCTTCATCTGAGAAGAATTCTGAGAACTCCTTTCTGACCCTTGACCTTGAAAGGGTTGATTTCTAGGGTGTTGGAATGTGGAAGAAAGAAACACATGCAAGTTGGTTCCTAAGGTTCTTTTGATTGTTGTGCATACGAAGATATGTTAGGGGAAAATGATTTGTTCTCTTGGCAAAAGCCAAGCACCCTGCAATTTTTGTTTCAGAGATCCGATTCTAGGTTATATATAACTCACAAACTAAACTCATCATTTGATAAATTCCCCTTTCATGTATATTGCAATCCAAATCTTGCATTATCAAAACATTGGTGTGTGTTTGTGTGTGTGAATAAATATAGTTTGTTAACTATAATAACACGAGCAATACCAGGGGATGAAGGCAATATGTAAGTGTATACTGTTCTACTGATGTTATTATGCTGGTATTTGGGAAGTCTTGAACTTGGATTTTTTTTTTTTTTTTCACAAAAAGACAAACTTTTTGCAAAATTAAAAAAAACACATCCAAACAAAATATCACATCCAACCCCATAATTATTTCACTTTTTCTCTTACAAACATCACATCCAACCATAAAAAACCCAACTATCTTCATCTATAAAAAATTATTTTTAAAAAAAATTAAATAAATAAAACATCAATAAAAAGTTAAATAAAATTATTTTATATTTAAATTGAGACATTTAAATTTTATTAAATATAATACATAATTAAATAGTAAAGAATCAAAATGGTCATTTTACCACCTAATTCTAACAGTGGATAGTCTCCCAAAATTTGTCCCATACCCCCCAGGATACAATAGTCCCCCATATGGGAGATAAGGAGTCCGGCCGAACTCCATGTCCGGCGGACTAAAAAAAAACAAACGACGGATTGGATGTTTCTCCCGGATTACAATTGGCACAGTAAATAGTCCCCCTCTTATTCCCCCCAATCAAACACAGTGCACTATGCCAAAGATTAGGTGTGTACCCAATATTTTCCCTCCCAAATACACATTAATGTGTACTAATTGGGCATTGTTTTTTATGTTTGTTTTTACAACAATACTATTTGTTATGATGAAAGAAAGGTATACGTTGATGTCTAAAGTATTAGCTAACTTGTTGTAAAGTACCCTAGAAGTGTCAGATAAGTTCCAAATCCAAAATACAGAATGCACTTTTATATTACAGACATGTCCCAGATGAGCTGGATGCATGTCCATGCATCTCAAACAATTGGCATTGTTTTGACAAGGTGACGCATCCTTTAAATATTTAGATATGGATACCTTTTCCACTTTATTATCCCAAAGTCGTTCTCTTTAGTCACACTAAGCAGCATGGACATTGCCACACAATATACGATAGGGACACGCTAACACAATAATAAGGCCAAGTTTGGGATGTTCTAAAAAAAGTTAAAAAGTCAAAAAGTTACTCAAAAAGTTAAAAAGTTAACACTATTCATCAAAAGTTAACAATTACGGCTGCACAACTCCCAATTCAAATTTTTTCCTACAAATCAATTTTTACAATTTTTTATTACACATTTTCCAATAAAAAGTCAAAAAGTTAACCCAAACATCCATATTTTCAACCTCAATTTTTTAGTCCAAAAAGACAAAAAATGCACTTATTTAATCTTCCCAAACTTGGCCTAAATATACATTAATTTTTATTTTATCATTAAATCTAAAATTCTTTTGTTCAAATTTATAACGTGTTTCATGTGTTGTTGGTAACCATGTGTGACTTGCTGAGATTCAAGACATGTTTGGATTTGTGTCCGACACGTGTTACATATGGATCCACCATATTCTTAGAAGTATCTATGCTTCTTAACTTTACACAATACATCTTTGTAGTTCAAGCACCATAAAAATCTTAATTTGTAGGATCCACTCATATGAACGCCAAAAGGTCTACTATCTTAAATTAATAACATTTAAACTACAAAGGCCTTTTGTCTTTGAATTTTTTGACCTTTTGAAGCCTTCATCTGAGAAGAATTCTGAGAACTCCTTTCTGACCCTTGACCTTGAAAGGGTTGATTTCTAGGGTGTTGGAATGTGGAAGAAAGAAACACATGCAAGTTGGTTCCTAAGGTTCTTTTGATTGTTGTGCATACGAAGATATGTTAGGGGAAAATGATTTGTTCTCTTGGCAAAAGCCAAGCACCCTGCAATTTTTGTTTCAGAGATCCGATTCTAGGTTACATATAACTCACAAACTAAACTCATCATTTGATAAATTCCCCTTTCATGTATATTGCAATCCAAATCTTGCATTATCAAAACATTGGTGTGTGTTTGTGTGTGTGAATAAATATAGTTTGTTAACTATAATAACACGAGCAATACCAGGGGATGAAGGCAATATGTAAGTGTATACTGTTCTACTGATGTTATTATGCTGGTATTTGGGAAGTCTTGAACTTGGATTTTTTTTTTGATTTTTTTACACAAAAAGACAAATTTTTTGCAAAACCGAAAAAAAACACATCCAAACAAAATATCATATCCAACCCCATAATCATTTCACTTTTTCTCTCACAAATATCACATCTAACCACAAAAAAACTCAACTATCTTCCCAAACACAAAAAAAAATTTCTCCAATAATATCCTACAACTAAAAAAACCTACATAACAACTCACTTCCCAAACACCCACTATCTATTATTGTGGACCTTTATGCAATCTAAATAGGTGATTTATGCTTTAAATATTTAGATATGGATAAATTTTCCACTCTATTATCTCAAAGTGGTTCTCTTGGCACTTAGACATGACGCATCTTTACAGCTCAGGCACACCATATAATAGTTGGACTGTAGGATCCACTCATATGGAAAAGCCAGATGGCTTACTATCTAACAATTTTGCAATAATTGCTCTTCACCCTCTCCCCCCACCCCCGCACAAAAGAAAAAGAAAAAGGAAAAAAGGCACCGTCTTGTATTCTCTGTGAAACTAGAAAAATATTGTTTAATTGCAGCTTCTAACAACTAAACCATAGCATGCTAGAAGAATTCTAAGGTTACCTTTCCGACCCTTGATCTTGAAAGGGTTGGGACAAAGAAAGGAGACGAAAAACACATGAACCAAGAATATTAACAGTAAGCGCGAAGCTTATGGGAAAATGATTTTCCTTCTCTTGACAAAACCAATTATAGATTATAACTTGCAAGTTCACAACCTAAACTCAGCATTAATTATTGAAATATTGGTGTGTGAATAAATGTAGTTTGACAGTACAGAGATGCTCATAAGTGATACCAGGGGAAGAATATGTAATTGTAGACTGTTCTGTTATTAGCTATTACTATTATTGTGCACTTCTCTGTTTTCTGACTGCAAGTGATAGAAACACAGCAAGGGTCTGTCTGTTCGGTTCTGTTTCATTTTCTTTCTTTTCATTTTTCATGCTTTCGGAAATTGAAAGAATGAAAAGTTCATCCGAAAACAGTTCTCGAACATTTGAAATCAACTTTTGATGTTTTTTAAAAAGTGGGTTTTTTTTTTTTAATAGAAAAATAGTTCGCCAAACAAGTTTAATGTGTTTTCTGAAACATAATGAAAAACACAATCAACCTAGCCCTAACTGTTTTTATCAAAGTGCATAGATGTTACAAATGAATTCTATGTGTAGCAGATGTAAAAAGCTGCAGATCTTAAAGCTTTAAGGTATTGTATTCATAATATAATTAATAGAACTGTACAAGACCATAAAAATTGGTTCAACACCATCAACCATACACACCCTCTCAAGACTCTAGCACACTTTGAATTCTGTTTGTACATCATCATCATCAGTTCCTCTGTTGAGATCAATCACAGTGCAGCATTACACAACATCACAACCCTTGAATGCACTCAAAAACCTTAACAAAAAAACACTGAAAAAGTTTTTAAGGTACAACTCCTGGATGCCCACACTTGATGTAGGGTACCCTATAGTTCAAAAGATGGAGGGACCCTTTAACTGTGGGTATTGCTTATTATTCATGTGTCCATATATATAACATGGAAAATCTTATGAAATTTATAGGGTATAGGGGTGGGGCTTAAAAGAAGGACCTCTTAGCAGGCGGTCTGCCAACAGCTTTCATCAAGTTGGCAACTTCAAGGACCTTAGCCACTTTGGTTCCCCTCTTGCCTTCTGCTGATGCCCTCCTTTCCTCTGCTTTCCTGTGTGCTTTTGCTACCTCATTCTGCATCTTTTCTAATGCTCTTGCTCTTTTCTCCTCCAGCTTCCTCTGTTCAAAAAAAAAAAAAAAAAAAAGAAAAGAAAAAAATCTTTATATTATTTTTTCTTTTTTTTCAAAACCACAACATTATTATGTTTTTGGAGAAATTATCCGTTGTTTCGGAAAGACAACGTGACTGTGTGCCCACCCAATAATAAGGGTGACAATTTTTCAGAAAAATAAGGATGAAATGACCAGATGACATTGTGCATTGCACAAGCATGCGGCCACATTAGAATTTCTGACTTTTTTGGGCTTACCAAAATGAAATACCGAAAAATTGTGTTACAATTATCCTTTGGTTTTCACATAAAGTTTGGGTAAAATGTGATTAGTGGAAGTCAAAGGGTGATTGGAAAGTTTTAAAAAAAATGCATTACAGAGGAATAACTTAGAACAACAAAAGTTGACAAACTAGATAAGAGAACAATTTTTTTGGAAATTAACAAGATGCTTTTGTTTTAGAATTCACTTTTGGTAGAAAATCAGAAAAAAATAAATAAACATGCCAAATGTGTATGAAAATCAGGGGAAAAAAACTATAAAAACAAGTACTCCTTTTTTTATTCTTCCTTCTAACAAATTTGTTAAAAGTATTAAAGTACAATTTTCATGTAAATCATTGGATTGGCCCATAACAAGTTTGTGTGATCAGAGGTCTCAAACCATTTGAAGTTTAGGAAATATATATATATATATAAACATAAACTGCAGTTAATAATTTGGGAAGATTGGCTTTTTAATTTTTTTTTAGTTTTTTAGCTTTTTTAGGTAACATCACCTCTCTATTTTTTTATACAAAAAAGTCAAAAAAGTTAACCTTTTACCAATTTTCTAAAACAGAATGTGATATTATTTAAAATAATAAATGAAATTGTACTCCCCTCTATCTCAAATTGTTTGTTCAGTATGGAAAACGAGAATTTAAAAATAATATATTTTTTTAGTGTTAATTTGTAATTTTTTAACACATTGAAAGTACTTAACGAAATCTTTCAATTGAAAAAAAAATTAAAAAATTTAGTACAAAAATATATTGTGTTTAACTTGTTTTTTTACCAAACAAATAATTTGAGAGAGAGAGTAGATTGCATGTGTGACACGTTTATATTTACGATAAGTGTAACCAAAAAAAACAAAGTTGCCTTAATTGGCCAAAGGATGACTTTTCAAACTTATCATACTTTATTTGTCTGTTTGTTTTTTTTTTCTTTTTTTTTCTTTTTTTGGAACAAATTCAAACAATCATACTAGATAATCTTGATTCCAAAATTCCTTGTCCTTCAATAAATGAAAACAAGGGAAAAGAAAAAATAAAAAGAAAGAAAGATGCTAATTCACCCAAAAAAGAAAGATGCTTTAGTTTTTCTCAAAAAACGAAAGAAATATATATATATATATATAGTTAAGATCAAAAAGATATGTAAGAGTGAGAGTCGCTAAGTGACAAAGTAGGTGGATAGAAATTTAGAAGCTTTCACACCCTGACCTTAGCCTCTGATGTTGGGCTAGAAGCCCTTGGCAAAAGACAAATATTTGTGTGAGGGGAATGTTGATAATTGAGCTACTAGTACACATTAATTTAAAAATTAAATATTTATATACTAAAAATAATTTATCATTTCATATATCATAATTGTGTTAATAAGTTTCATCCATCATTTGATTTTTCAAAAAAAATTTAAAAGCTCAAGGGAATCAATTAGGTGATATAGTTGATCAGCACCTAGTTATGCAGTCATTGACCTTGCTAGTAAATTGTAAGAGTTGTGAACAAACAAATTAATTCTTCAATATATATTTGCAAATATATTCAATTGAGTTATGGCCCAAGTGGTTTGGTCACTTGAAACCTACCAAGGATCTCCAGTTCCCGATCTCAAATTAATTCTTCTTTCTTACATGATAAAAGATCCAATCTTTGAAGCTTGCTCACCAAATCATGATTTGAACCCTAATAACAATTAAAATAATACTTTTTTTTTTTTCCCCCTTTTTGTTTTAAGCAAAACAGAAAAGCCAAAAAACTTCAAATTACATAGGGGTTCTCAAGGCGTGCAGCCCCTGTTTGTTTTTTTTTTTTTTTTTTTTTTTGATCGCAGAGCATGTGTTTTTTTTTTTTTTTTTTTTGGCCTTTTAGAAGCAAAATGAAAATGGAAATGTTTAAAGAAGATGGAAATGTATTGAAATTGTCAAAGATAGAGAAATACTTTAGAAGTAAAATGGAAATTAAAATGTTATAAGAAAAAAAATTAAAAAAGAAAAAAAGAAGGAAGATAGTGATACTTGCAGCCCAACAGTTCATCAATCTGAACCCACCTCACCATTATCATGAATGAGAATCATATATATGAGCTAAGTTAACTATACCTATACATAAACATATTAATAAAAAGAAAAGGAACAATTAACATATATATGCATCAAGGAGTGGAAATTAATTTTAATTTTAATTTTAATTTTAGTAGTATTAATGAATTACCTCAACTTTCTTCATCCATGAAGTTGCCTGCTGTACCTGCTCACTCTCCCACCCATTAATTATGGCATCCTCCCTCTTAAACTTGTTATTAATCTTCGCAATCTTCGCAGTCTGCCATGCCGATATCTTCGTCTCCACCTCCTCCCTCTTCACTCTCTGCACCGAAACTTCGCTATGATTTCCAGTAATCGCCACCGACCCACTATTAATAGCACGCCTCGGTGATGGTAGAGGGTCCAAAGGGCTGTGATCAGGTACTATAGCCAAAGGGTTTGTCTCCTCATGCATTTCATGATCTTCTCCAATCCTAGCCAAAAGGCTATTATTCCCATTATTCTCATTTTCATGACTACTTCCATCGTTCCCCAAGGTTGATCCTGCTAGGACTAAGGCACTGAACTCTCTGCTCATTGATGTGAAGTTCTCACCTGATGCTCCTTCACTTGCCATGGATAGTGATGATGATCTATGGCTGCTTGTTTCCCAAGTTTCTCTCCGGCGAGTGGTGCGGTTGGCTAGTGGTTGGGGGTGAGGTGGGGTCAGGGCATGGATGTCCCTGATGGGTTGTTCATCATCATGATGATCTTGATCTTGAAGATCTTGATCTATTCCACTTGTGGTAGGAACAAGTGCCCTTTGATCATTATTCAACATGTCAAGGTTGTAGGTATGTGGGTTGCAATAGAGAACAAGGACAAAATTATGAAGAGAATAGGAGGAAGAAAGAGCGAAGGTTTATGCATAGCCTCAATTATGGATGGTTTTTGATTGAGTAAAGGAGCAATATAAGCCACACATGCATGATAGTAAACGGATGACTGAGGAGACTTCAAGAAGTTGAAGTGATAGCTCACAACTTAGGTAGCCCTTAGTTAAGATGCAAATGTGTCATTTAAAGGAACTTCATGTTTTTCAATTTTCATATGGAAATTAATGAAAATCTAATTGACCCCTCATTTTGTTGTATTTACCACTTTTTGCCCATTTGTATTGATCTTTCTTCCTTTTATTTGGAGCCTTCCCCACCAAAGTTCCCACCAACTTTTCCTTTCACTTTTTTTTTCATGTTATTTAGTTGTGATTGGTTGAGAAAATGCCTCATTTCTTAACTAACCTTGAAATTGTTTTAAATTGGTGCTAAAGTTGATTTGATGCTCATGTTTAGACAATTTTTGTTACCATTAATTGTATTATTTAAATGCTATTTTAAGTTGTAAATAGTACATTTTGACAAACTCATTCCAAACCACGAATACAATTATTAGATGATTAAGTTTTTATTATACAAATTGATCTTAATACAATCGAGCATTTCTTATTATATGGATTTGTAGTGTTTTTAAACATAATTTTTTAATGCAATAATTAATATCTTAAAGAAATTTAAATTTTTATTGATTTAATTAAAAAATACATCTAATAAAAAATTAATAATTTAGTGTAATTGTTAACACACTTGGCGACATTGTCTAATGTCACTTACCAACCTTCTTTATGAGCAAAAAAATATCTTTGTTTATGTAAATCAATATGAAAAAAATGATACGCTAAATACCTAAAAATATGAAAAAAATGATACGCTAAATACCTAAAAACATAAATAAAGCAAATTAGAAAAAATGCATCATAATAAAACTGATTCATCTCAACTAAGTAAACACAAAAAAATAAGTCAAATCATGTACAAGCACTAAATCACAAGAGAAGATTAGTAAGATTCTAAACTAAACCCACAAAAGAGGAGAAAAGGAAGAGAGAATGGAAGATGCTAAACACCACCAATAAGTGTCATCCCAGATAACAACAAATTAGTTGTCCCAAATACAATTAATCTCAATGGTAGCCCCAACACTCGAAAGCATTTACAAATGAGACAACCTACACCCTTCTACAGCATTAGCCTTCAAACTGACCACAGCAAAACGAATTACCTTCCAATAACTTTTTTTTTTTTCTCCTTATATTTAAATCTTACCACTAATAGATTTGTCGAAGAATTATTTTGTTCTTCTTACTTTAGATTCTGCTCTTCACGTTTTCCCGTTGCATCAATACTTGTGTTTGCTTATTGAACAATTTATTTTATTTTAAATTTTTTTACAGTTTTTGTTGGAACAATCTTCTGTATAAAATAAATTACTTGAAAAAAATCAAATAAATAAAAATAAATTACTTACATAATTTATTTTACCGATATGTAAAAGTAATAAAAGATCAAGTCGAGTGTGTGACACTCTGTCCTTAAGACGGATTCGCCCCGCTACAGTGTTTACGGATAAAAGACGTCTATCTCCCACGATACAATGATCTTCACAAATTGAATCACTTGACTGCTGAAATGGTCTGCTATAAATAGACCCAAACAGATCACTTGACTTCTATGCTTCCAACTGCAACAGATCTGCTAGTTTTATCCAAAACCCACAACTGCACCCGGCATAGTCGGCTGGCGGCGGCACGCGTGGTGGTTTGAGACAAGATTCACTTTGTCCATAACCCCTCCCTTCGACAAACTTCGGATGCCCCTTGGGGCCCAACCCAATGTTATACACCTAGAGCTTATATACTCACAAAAGCTCACTTAAAGTTTTAATGTGAGATAAGTCTTTCAAGGAAATCCATATTTAATTCTTTAATTGTCCATTCCATGAACTCAAAAACGACGTCAATTTCCCATTCACTCATAAATGGTTTTGACGAACCGTCTTCACCGTGTGACTCGCCATGCGACAAGGAACGCGTCACCTCTTCGGACCCACCCCAAAAGACGTGTGGACCCCACTTAATTTTGGGCTCAAAGTTAACTCAAAATAAGCCTATAAAACCATTATTTCCAACCGTTCTAAATACCAAAAAGAGTGAAGGTTTAAGCATAACCTCAATTATGAATGGTTTTTGATTGAGTAAAGGAGCAATATAAGCCACACATGCATAATAGTAAGAGGATGCCTAAGGAGACTTCAAGAAGTTGAAGCCATTGCTCACAACTTAGGTAGCCCTTAGTTAAGATGCAAATGTGTCATTTAAAGGAACTTCATGTTTTTCAATTTTCATATGGAAATTAATGAAAATCTAATTGACCCCTCATTTTGTTGTATTTACCACTTTTTGCCCATTTGTATTGATCTTTCTTCCTTTTATTTGGAGCCTTCCCCACCAAAGTTCCCACCAACTTTTTCTTTCACTTTTTTTCATGTTATTTGTGATTGGTTGAGAAAATGCCCCATTTCTTAACTAACCTTGAAATTGTTTTAATTTGGTGCTAAAGTTGATTTGATGCTCATGTTTAGACAATTTTTGTTACCATTAATTGTATTATTTAAATGCTGTTTTAAGTTGTAAATAATACAATTATTAGATGATTAAGTTTTTATTATACAAAGTGATCTTAATACAATCGAGCATTTCTTATTATATGGGTTTGTAGTGTTTTTAAACATAATTTTTTAATGCAATAATTAATGTTTTAAAGAAATTTAAATTTTTGTTGATTTAATTAAAAAATACATCTAATAAAAAATTAATAATTTAGTGTAATTGGTAACACACTTGGCAACATTGTCTAATGTCACTTACCAACCTTCTTTATGAGCAAAAAAATATCTTTGTTAATGAAAATCAATATGAAAAAAATGATACGCTAAATACCTAAAAACATTAATAAAGCAAATTAGAAAAAATGCATCATAATAAAACTGCTTCATCTCAACTAAGTAAACACAAAAAAATAAGTCAAATCATGTACGAGCAGTAAATCACATGAGAGAAGATTGGTAAGATTCTAAACTCAACCCACAAAAGAGGAGAAAAGGAAGAGAGAATAGAAGATGCTTAAACACCACCAATAAGTGTCATCCCAGATAACAACAAATTAGTTGTCCCAAATACAATTAATCTCAATGGTAGCCCCAACACTAGAAGGCATATACAAATGAGACAACCTACCTTCTACAGCATTAGCCTCCAAACCGACCATAGCAAAAGGGATTACCTTCCAATAACTTTTTTTTTTTTCTTTTTCTCGTTATATTTATAATCTTACCACTAATTTAGCAAAGCTCTAATTGACCAAGGCATTGTCCACTACTATCACAACCCAAATCCGTCCCTATAAGTTTAGCATCGTAACCGACTAGTAATTATGGGATTACCGAAGGCATTTATACAAAATAAGAGGCTAGCGAAAGCATTTATACAAACATATGATGTTCATAGAACTGTGTAGACATATATGGGACAGTAAAATTGAAGACTTATATTCACATATATGTGACGTCATAAATACATCAGTATTGCGTCACCCAAAAGCGGATAAAACAAATGGGACTTAGCCCTTTTATACCGTCTAAACAAAAGTTTTCTCCCAAAGAGGAAAAAGATAAAACAGACACCACGTGCACTTGACTTGGATGCTTGAACACTTGATCACTAGGGAACCTGATCACCTACATATATAAATAATACAGTGAACTGGAACCCACTGAATAATCAACAAAGTAAAGGGGTTTATGATTGATGTCCAAAACAGATTCAGATTCACATGCTCATACAGATTTCATAAACAGTTATACATGGCACATCCATTAGCTAACAGATCAGATTGGTGATAAAAACCCACGTTTATAGTCGGTGCCGACGACTATAAAGGTCAACATCTTTTTGCCCAAACAGTCATGGTATTGTTATCCCCAGGCGAGGGCCACATGAATATAGGCCTCGATATTATTACCCTTGGGCAAAGGTTACATAAACATAGATTACGGTGTTATTACCCCCGGACAAGGACTACGTGCATATTGGCCACGGTATTGTTACCCTCAGGTGAAGGCCACATGAACACAAGCCACGGTATTAAGCGTATAAAGTGTCGAAATAGGCCGCTTTCGAGCCTAAATTGCCTAGATGTCAAGTCATATGGAAACTTGGGTTTCTTTACGGATTTGGTCCATTTGAATATCGCGATAAAGCCAAATTTTTGTTGTTTTTTTTTTTTTTTTTTATTTCAAGTGGCTAAAAATTGTGGCCATATGTACTAAAAATCCGGTGATTAAAATTGTCACCTACAACCTTCAAAAAAATGTAAGGTTAATTATATCAAAATCCCCACAACTGTTAACTTTACCATTTTTGTCTTGAAATTATATATTTTAAACCACTCATTATAAAAATACATCACTGACACCCTTTTAAAAAAGAGCAATTGTACGATCTTTTTACTTAAGGGATAAAAACTTAGAAAATGCCTCCGACTCCCAGTGGGCGTGCTGGGGGTCGTGCATGTAGGGTCCTGATTGGGCGAATTTTTTTTTTCAATCAATGAGGCCGCGCCACGTCATTGGGGGTCTGTAACATTGTTCAAAAACTTATAAATAAAGGGTAAATTGATATTCGGTGATAGTAAACTAGGTCTTGATGTAATTAATTAAAAAATGAACCTACTTGAAATGCAAAAGATATTTCCAGAAATATCATTGTATTAAAAGCTAAAGAATATTGATTTATGTAACAGAAATGGTACATCCCTCTAATTTGAGAGTTCTAAAAGAGTACTAATGATGTGGAAAAAAAAAAAAACTAAGGCCAAAATACCGTATCAAATGAGATTCACACATCAATTAAAGCTATTATAGCTCTTAATTTAGAACTCCCAATCTTTTTTTCTTTTTCTTTTTTTGTAATTCCTTGTGGTGGAACATTAATAAAATTTGTCACCAAAAGTGGGGCTAACTGTCACGCATTTCTTATAAAATAATACTACTTTGTGATTTTTACTAGTAGAATGTTTTTTTATTTTATTTTATTTTTTTTGCTCGTGAAGAACTTTTTTCAAAAATATATATATATATATATATCACTATGTACGGC